AATGGAACAGTGTTTCTAGCTGCTGGGGAACAATAGGTACCAGTGGCCAGGTAGCGCGAATGTTAACACATGGACAGAAATTCATTTCAATTAGACGCATTCATCTAGCCATCACACGCCCGTAATTGCGTTGTACAGCTATTCCAACCTCAACGGAATCGTAAGCAACGTGCAATCCGTATGGGGCTTAAACCACTAATTCAACCATTAAAACAATGGTTAAAAAACCTTGGGCTTATTAGGACGGTTCCGACTAACTTGTTAACTTAATCATTGAAGTAAAGGGCTACTCAGTATCCACAGACTTGCAAGTTATTGAGAGATAATCATGTCATCCCCATGAATGCTCTACTCTCGCTCAAAATTAGCATGTTCCCCCGGGTAGCGTACGAATGGAAAAGTTTACCTAAAGAAATTTTTGAAGCACTTTCGGAGGACTGTTTTAAGTAGCTTCTAAACAAAGCCATTTTGATGACGTTGGTGTCATGCTGCTCCCCTGCAATTGCGACAACAGCTGGAGGAACGTCCTCGTAGCACGACACGCAGCTCTGCCACAATGGATTGGAAGCGACAGAGCTCTCTAAAACTCAATAAACCAATAGACAAATTCTAATTTTGTTCGTCTTAGCGCGTGGTTGCCCAGACGGCTGTCTTTCTTCGTTGTGTGTGCGGTAGTCCGTTGATGATTTGTTCAGCTAAATCGAGGAAGCATTGCTTAACTGTTTGCTTTAATTGTAACACCATTGATTATATTAAGTGGGTCATTTATTATGTTTATATAAATAGCGGTTTCGCTGTTATTTTTATTTGGATACTTTGCACTCTGTTTCATCGCACGTACTTAACAAGGTTGTTTACCGCGAAACTTGCCATAACCGTAACAGCTCGACGATGGATAAATTGGCGTCCGACATGTCTTCTTTCTTCAACAGAGCTATGCAGGTGACTACTTATATTTTTTATATGCTTTCAGAAAACCGAAGAAGTTTTTAAAATCACGGAGAAGACTATACCGGATCCTGAAGTAGAACATCTGAAAGCTGAATGCGAAAAGCGAAAAAAGTGGGCGGACAAGCTTGTCAGCCTACTTCAATCTGTGATTCAACCAAGCACAGGTACCAATTCTAAAGCTTTTTCTTAATATTTTGATATTTTCATCTACACTACAGCGACGTCCAATGTAACCGAATGACTCTAAATCCACGGTTCAGTTGGGACAGGAATCGTAGGAAAATCCCGTTAAGTTCCCACTTGTTACCTCGTCATTATACCAGAAGGTAGACGTTTGCATGTCACTTGAAAACCTAGATGATATGTTTCTTCTGCAGTCGGTGGCTAATTGTTCTGCAAGCAGCTAAGTAATGGGAAAAACATGTAACGTTAATAAACCGGTCGTAAGTTTTGTCTCCAACTGGCCATATCCTAATTCTTGAATCAAGTTTACTCTATTTCCTTTTTGGAGTTTTTGGTGGTTAATAACAAATGACATCATACTAAAAAAAACTATGCAAAATTCGGCCACGCACTGCACGGTTGTTGATAAATATACCTAGATATGTATTGTCGGTAATGGCCTTCGAAGTTTAGGAATAGACCTGCGGATATTTTGATAGCCATTGCATACGTTCTTCCAATGGACGTTCTATTCATTGCAGTGGTGGAGAGCAGAAGTAGGCGTTCCTTGTCTGCCCTTTCGCTTCCCGTCAAAAGCAAAGATTTGCGGCTCATTGCGATACGTCGTTCATAGTGGACCATCACGATCGCACAAAAAACAACACCGTCCTTGCTTACTCACCAGCTGCAATCCAACAGTCGTTTTAAACACTTCACCTTGTGAGCTGACGACTGGGTCTGGTAAAGTGCTCCAGTTCTCCAAGACACCAATGGAAAAAGTGACATCGCGATAGACTCGGAGTATCCTGAGATCAAATAGTTTTCAGGCCTTACCTCTTGTCGAGTTATCAATTTTTAGTTGAAAGCACTTTAAATTATTTCCAATCATTCTTAGAATGCGTCTGGTGTAAATCAGATCACCTCGACGAAGACGATAATTCAAAGAAAACGTGTTCATCGTTCGAAGTCGCTGGTCGCAAGACAAATTCCGGAACGTGGAGACTGATTTCCCCTTCGTCTTTGGACTAACTCTGTGAGAACACGTGCGGTTTCGTAAGAGGACAGAACGCGCTTGTGCCCTTTTAGGGGATGGCGCGCGTTCGGGTAGTAAAGAATAGTCGTAATACTTCCGTAACCATTCGGGAAAAATCTCCCTATATTAAAGAACATATTGTTAGCAGCTGCTATCCTCAAGTTTTCATGAGTTCTGCGTAACTTAGGAGACACAAGTACACCATGGTCCTTCTCACAAGCAGCGTTCCTGATCAAGGAGCCACCAGTGATAAGCACCAAGCGGGTACGGGGCGCCAAGATGGAGTACTGAACACCTTTTGTAATTAACGGGTAACTGCCACTCCAGCGACCAACTGTTCAACCGTTCAAGGTTCGCTTGCAATCGGTCGGCATCCTCGAGCTCGGACATTTCAAGCCATCGGTTTAAGTCGTCAGCTTATAGCAAACAATCTGTACGGAGCCCTGAAGGAAGGTCGTTGATGAGTAGTTTGAACAACACAGGACCGAGGAGGGAGCCCTTAGAACTCCACTAGTCATGAGAACGATCTCGGAGTAAAGTTCATTTACATCCACTCGCATACCACGGCCTTTCGAAAAATACCTGCTCCAAGGTTGAATTTTCCCAGAAAAGCCAAAACCACAAAGTATAAAGAGGAGCCGCTCCTGCGAAATTTTATTTAGTGCTTACTTGAATCCGGCAAATAAGACGTCCAGGCAATTGCTGGAATCTAACAATTTAGCCCATTTTTGCTCTGGCCACAAGCATGTTGCAGACACACTGGCGTGCCCTCCGGAAGCTATACTGAGCGGGAGAGAATATAATCACATAATCAAAGTGACGATTCAGTGCACTCATAAGAGTGCTCTTCCTGATTTTACTACTGGGTAAGCACATCGGGGTAATCGTCAGACGAATAAAACACTTGTCCTCATATAGCGGTGTCGGGATGAAGTATTTTGCTGACCTACTTGTGTTCATTTATGTTAGAATTTGCAAGAGGCCAGAGTATGCCGGGTTGTAGGGACACGAGCCATCTCCTACCTGCAGACTGTCTAAGTTGTGTACGACGCTTAGTTGTCTTCAAACAATGTATTCTATTTGTTATTACTTTTACGCAAATGGCGTATTTACTGTTCCTCATAGTGCATGTGTATCGCTGACAAAAATTAACTTATCCACCTTCCCAGTTATTTGACCTATTATTGAAGTAACCTATACTGATTTACACTTGTATGGCAAGAAAGCACTAGGTATCCCTCGCAAGTTCTACAATCTAATATTACTAACTTATTAAAACCAACATTTTTCTTTGTTATCTTTTATACTCTTTGATCTAACCAACTACCTGGACCGTTTGTACTGCTGTCGAGAAACAGCTATTATTTTTATCGGGATGTGTTAATTCCGTCAGCCAGATGGAAGTACAAGCCTATTGGTGCTCGGACATGAGCAAAAAGTTCACTTATTCCTCCTATAGCGCTAATTTTAATGGGTGCCAATAATTCCTCCGAGAATCAGGCAGGCATTTTCCCCAATGAGGGTATTGCTTTTATCAATCACTGATCCACCTGCCATTGTTTGCTTTTATATCATGTTTTGCTTTCTATATTGTCGAATGCTTGTGTTTCCGCTGAGCACTTACTGGTCTTGGGTGTGCAAAACACTTTTTTGAATCCGTTTTTCCTGAAACTTTTCCGAACGCCTCCGGGAAGATTCCAGCAGACTTAAGGTTACTTAGGTCTTTAGTTATCCTTAATACCTTTATCAGGTTAATCCTCAATCTGATGTTTTCACTGCATTTATCATTAAATACTTGATCGATGTTTGCACGATAGCCAGCTTTTGTAACGGTACGTTGCTGAAAATGTGTAGGCGTTTTACCCTGATTGTTTGCTTAGGGCACTAAGATTTTATGCTACGTCCCTCTTCTTTCTCTATTATTCGTCCATTAGGTCACGATGGCTGTATGACAGCGAAGCATCACTCCAAATAAGTAGATAAATAAATATTTTTTATACTCGGTGAAAAGAGACGCCAGTATGGGCATAATAAAGCGGCTGACAGGAGATACTGCTGCTAATGATGGTCGCATAATTTTTCACGTACATTATATTCCTCATTGGGTTTTCTCTATGCTTGCATTACAATAATGCAATGCATGGACTAATGCCATCGCTCTTTCCACTTCGCTTTTTTGGTTTCTGGCTGCTTTCTGTAAGGGTAATTTTTAGAGGCTAATACCGGAGCACTACATCATAGTCCAATCTAACCCACTCGGCAGCTTTATTTCGGTAATGTAGACAGAGAAGAATCACGTTAGTGCGTTCATTTTAAACTTGTTCTGCGCAGTCATTTACTGCAATTGGGCAATTTCACCACCACTATTTTGTTTCGAAATCCTTGATGTCGACCTCGATAGTCCGTTTTAGTTTTGTTGTGCTCGATCATCCGAGTTTATTAATACGGTTAACAATGGCTCCTTACATCAGGTAGATTAGATAATTCAGGTTAAAGATATTTTAGCTGTAGAGCAATTCTAGACTCTCCCAGCGGCTAGCCTCTAAATGAAGAGTTGTGAACTAACCTAAACAAAACTGCATTTTTAATTTAAGACTTTAATATCCAGCTTACGTCATTACGTATATATCAGCGGAGAGCTTGCTTGCATTCGTAGCATCCACCAAGACTGTCACCTTACATACACAAGCTGCGCTTTTTAGAGATTTCAGATATTTGGCCAACATTTTTACTCACGTTGATGTTTTATGCCCATGTAAAAACTAGATTACCAACTTTTACATTTTCTAACATGTTACGTAATCTAATAATGTTAATCCATTGATTCTTCCTTCCAGCTGCCCGAATAGAGGATATGGTGCTAAAAAGGTTGGACAATAATATAGAGGTACTCAATGATGCAGAACAACTGGGCGACGAAATGATTCGTATTGGTACTGAGTTGGGTGACGATGCTTATGGTGAGGGTCAATAAGACTGTTTTTGTATGGTGTGAAAGATCTTGACATGTTTTCTTGATTAGTAAATTTTTAGCAGATCGTTGTATAGTCCGTTGTCCTGTGGGCATGTTTTGAATTTGTTTATATTTCTCACGCCCGTACCAGCGCGGTGTCTATTTTCCAAAGTAGCCAGTTGGTCGTGCATGCGCTCTATGCAGACATTTATTCTTCGCTTGTTTGCTATTAACTCTTAGGTAAAAATTACAGGCCATATATATATATATACTCAGAGCGGATCTCTTTACTAGTCTAGAGAGAGACCGCGAAGTCTGGTGGTCTCGTCGTGCTTCGGAAATGGAAACAGCCGCCGCAATTGGTAGCCATTGTAAGTTATTCCATTTGATACGGGAGACAAGCTGCAGGAGACCTGGTGTTAGCGAGACCATATGCGACGAGAATGCACAGCCGAACTACAACTTGTCAAAATTCTTGGAGTGTTGGGCCGATCATTTGGAAAGCAGTTCAATCAATCTGAGATATCGATTTCTTTTACCGACATTGCTTTCTCTCCGTTCTATCTCGTCTCTTTGGACGCTGGTCACGCTTAGTAGTCGATAGTGTGATCAAACTGTTGACATTGAATAAGGTCGCAAAGACAGGTAGAATCCCCAGCCCTCTTTAAATTCGGAGGAGTTGCTTTTGTGGATAAGTTACCCGATTGAGAATATGATAACAGGAGACCGCACCAACAGACTAGTGCCACTCTGTCATTGTCCCAATTCTCAGCTGTGACACCAGTTCGGAATGCGGCAGTCATAGGAGATCCGTCTGGTTTCAGTTGTTTCCGAAATGCTTGCGCTTGTGCACAGGCTGACTGGAATTCGGGATAATCAGATTGGTGAGGATCAAGCAGGGCTTCATCGAAATCTAGGTTGCACCGATCACCTTTTTGCTTTACCTCGATCGTTGGATAACCGACATTTTTATCGGTGCCCTGCCATTGTCGTGTTTCTTGATGCATCAATTTGTCCTTTAGGACTGTCTGTTGACGAAAGATGTGCGCGATAACTGCGTAAACATTTACGGAGCGCTGTACATATATATATCGGACAGAGTAAGAGGTTTCGGCAAACTGCCACCGCCCTTCAATATATTCAGCCGTGTAAGACAAGTAGCCCAGACAAACTCAAGGAGACAGTATTCGCTGGACACAACCTACAACGTGTGGTGCTACTTTCTGGTAAGCGACATCTTGACTTGGAATGTGCGGACGACATTGCCGTCTTATGTAACAGCTCTCAAAGTGCCAAGCAGCAATGGACAGATTAACACTGGCTGTCATTTGTTTTGGACCATGCCACGCGCAATCGAAATGCAAACTACATCTCCAAGATTGGCAGAGACCACCCATGCGCTGACCCTTGGTAGGTCAACACACACTGGTAGGCATCAGGCTCCGACGGCTGGGCCACTTGTTGCGCATGCCAGCCCACCTCTTCCAGAGTCGTGTGTTGTTTGCTCGCCAGGGCTTTGGATGGAAGAATAGAAGGGGTGGCCAACTGATGACTTCGTCAAGAGGAATGAAAGCCCTCACATGGAAATTAGCCTCGGTTGGAGTGTTTCGGCTCTTTGGTTTGGGATGGAAATGCGATGAATACGTTTGGTTAAACACACTTGTTGGTTTGGCGAAGAGCTGGCCCAGTTGCGTTCGGGTTGTGAGTTTCTTTGCTTATTCCGCTCTCCTATAAATTCCCCATCCAATCACGATCTCATATCTAATACGATATAATATTTAACATTAACTTACCTAATTTTTGCATTTTTGTGCTGTGTTATTTTTGTGTTGCGGCACAGTAGCTGAGGCGTGTTTATCACCCACTGCTAACGTGTATTGATGATTATACTGATGACATATCCTATAAGAAACTAGGGATTAGCTTTACTCCATTCATCTTATTGACACTGAAACGGATTCATCACCCTCCGTCTGTTGCCTTAAGTCTGCATCCTTAGCAATGTTTACTCCAGTTTTATCATCGAACTGGCCAAGAGTGACTGCTTTAGCCATTTCATCGGAAGTGATCGTAATCGTTAGTCTAAACCTATTTAAATAATGAAAGTACAATAATAAGTGATAAAACGTACACAACAGAAACAAGCGATATTATGCTTTTCAACTGTTATGCATCAACACTGAATTTGGAGTGAAGTCTAAGCGAGATGGGGACGGGCAAGGAATCTTACAACATGAATGCTGCTGCGGTCGGATCTTCGCAATTGCAAAAGTGTATCCAACTAAATGTGTTCCCGTGTATTAAGTACCAATCAAGATTTCATAATTTTTAACATTCCGATCTCCTGTTCTACTTCTGCGCATGAGGGCGGATTGCGGGAGGACGACTATTGAGAAGGAAGCTGATAACTCTGCCTGATTAGACTACTTTACAAGGTGTTCGACCAGACGCTCCACTCTCATCACATAGTCTTGATGGCATCAGGTCTCCTGCTACCCGTTTCCTGTGTCAGAAATAAAAGCTTTTGATAGTTTTCAAGAGCTGCGGCTGTTTCCATTTCCAGTGCGCGATAAGGTAAATAAGGTTTCACGGTTTCTTCAGACTGACGCACAAGTTTTATGGACTGTCGTGGTGGTCGCTGCGAGTCGCAGTGCGTCGGCGAGCATACAGAATTTCCATAGACTGCGGAGAGACCCAACCTCCGGGCTGGCGATTCGGTTTATCACATGAAGGCATGTCCGCTACTAAAGTCTGGTAAACATGTGTCCAGTGGCCCGTCAACTGTGATCAGTTAGCGCATATTCAGTCCGGATACACCATATTTTGATTTTATTTAGAACATCCGGCTTCCGCAGTTGGTTGATTTTCATGCGCTCATAGTTGCGTTGCGAGCGCTCGTTGGAACTCACTTTTTGATTACCACATGCAAATACGTGATATGAGTCCATGTTCTTACCCAAATCGAGCGACAGTTTTGGACGCAACCTGTCCAGCGGTAACAGATGATGAGGTGGGTTGATTTGTGTCCATGGCTGGTCTGAAGTTGGTGGGCGGTATGCCACCCTTCTGTGGGTGCTATGTCGGACGTTAGTGCTCGTGAGGAATAGAACAGCATCTTCACACAGGTGTGGTAACCGCTCTGCGTCAACATTACGGAGCCTACGCCGTGTTTCCGGCCCAGTTGAACCTCATGCAAATACGGTTCTCCGACTTCGGCGTTCAGATCGCCAGCCAATGCCACAGTACTCCACTTTTTCGGTGACGATCTTGCTCATTCATTTGACAGTAGAAAGCATACTTCAACTAGTCAGCGCTGCAGTTTGTGGGAATGTAGGTTTCTTTGACAAAATCACACCTATTTGAACGAGCGGGCTCAGCTGACAGCACACATCCGGATGTCGGTTAAACTACAATCAGTGAATGTAGCATCGCTTCGGAGGCTCACACAGACTTGACTGGCAAATGAAGGTGCATAATATATGGATAGATGCTATGAGAAAATACCGCCAGCATCACATGTAAGGGGATCGCGGGGTAAGCACAGAGCTAGTATCTTACAAGCGGGTTTCTCATAAGAAGCTGATATCGATCTATTGGGTTTCCAATGTTCGGGCAGTTTCTGTCACTTGACTACTTTGAAACAAAGCGTGCACATTAATGCATGCCAGTTTTAGCGAAGCTCGTCGGCTCGATATAGCAGCGGGTGAAGTTTCGTTGTCCGCTTGTTTTGAAATGAGTTTGTCTATGGGACCGAAGCGAAGCTCTACTGTTTGTGTGAGCTTAAAGTAAAAGACAAACGCCTGTTATACGACATGTGGGTGGCTGATAATTGGGGGGATTGACAGCAGGGGGATAGCAGTGAAGTTGGAACATTACGGTGAGTGTTATTGAGAAGATATAACAGAGAAACAGAAATATGATATAGCCTTGGCATTAGCATCCTTAACCCTATCCACAATGCTCAAGGCATCAGCAAGGGCTTCATTATTTATTCTGTGCGACGGTCAATGCAGCAGGAAATTGTTTGTTGAGAAATTCTTCGTATTGAGTGGGCAGTATACTGGCCGGTTGCGAGGCGTAGACAGGCGAAATATTAGGTTTCTCAAACAAAGGCTTTCGTTCAAAACCCTGATCGCACGACAGCCGGATTTTGCCACTCAAATACACCGAGTACTTTTTAAGGAGTAAGCCACCCTCATTCCACAAACCAGGAGACTGAGTTAGTCTGGCCTCTAAGCACTAACCAGTCTGGTATGAGTGGCTCGGAAAGTGTAGGAAGCACAACCCATTATAGCTCAATGGATCGCTGAGGCACACAAAACACCGCATTATGTTGAGATCCACTGTCATCGCAACGAGCGTCTTAAGTGTGCATTCTGAATGGTAACTGACTAGTACCTTTTGAATTGGTGTGTGGTGTAGCAGTTTGGGTCGAAACTGACCCTCTCCGTGCAAGCACTGCTGAGTTTAATAAAGACGTAGTAACTTGGGCTTGGGAACGTTTCTTGCAACATGAAAATGCTGGCTAGCTGAACAACCACGTGCTGCCAGCTGGGTGGTTCGTATTTAACCCGTTCCAGCAAATAGTTCGGCAGCAGTGTTCCAGGATGTGGTGGGTTTTCGCCTGGCAAACGTTCTCCCTATGAAAACCCACATTCGTTCGTTTAACAACACTGTGAAGTGACGGATGTGACTCGCCACAAACTAAAATCACTGCCACGTGGATATCCGATAATTCTATGTAATCCACGGACATCATTCTTTTATTCCCAATTTCTGACGATATTAACAGTCAAAAAGACAGCGGCACACTGAGAAGCACAAAGTACACAGATACATACCTAACAATTACAAACGTACATACACCTATTCACATACATTCACTGTTATATAAAACTTGCATTTTTATACAATTTTGACAACTGTTATGTTAACATGATCACGCCTGTAAAGGTGTCCCTCGCGTTCCTGGGAATAAAACGTTTAGTTATTTATTTATACTATTTAATACATTGAAAACTCACTAATAATTCTCATGGTCACCGAGCCGATGGTTGAAGTTTTAGATCAGTTCATTTCCCTATGTAACCTGCACTGTTTCATTAAGTATTTTGTCGGTAAGACCTGTGAGAGATGATGACACTCGGTGCATTCGGTCATGAATGGGCTATACAACGCTGCACCATGGCCTTTGTCAGATATCTAGTCTCCATGGGTCCAGAAGTAGGAGCGAGCAACTTACTTTATCTCGGACTCGCTCACCATATGCGCTTCCAACATTTACTGGAGTTAACGCTGTTGCTTATTGGCGTGAAGGTCGAGAAATCCGATCTTTCTATTTGCATCTCTAAGTGAATTCGCTAGCCGCTGGTGGCCCATGTCACTTCTATGATTAGAGTCAAGTCCATCCCCACGTGTTTGTTTCCGGACCTCACGGAACGCGACACACAGCGGGCACCAGTGGCTCGCTGTTATGCGAACCGTCTGTTCAAATATTGTGCGGTGCTTAGTCATCTTTACACAATGGCGTATTTGTGTCTACTTCTATTAATTGGTCTATACGCCACACCCCATAATGTGCATCGGTTTCGTCACAGATCCCTACATTCCCTGCCCCCTTCCATTGACTTTTCTTTAGGGCAATCCATATTAACGTACATCTACATAACAAGAAACACTAGAACGGAGGGCTGTTGCTGAGGTGTGGTCACTCGCCTTTGATCACTAACATATTTGAAATATTTATTGTCTCTGGAGCCCATGGAGTATTCAAGGCGTACTCCAACTACTTATACTTTCGTATATGCCATCTAGTGGCGCACGGATGGTCTTTTTATGCTTACAATTCCTACTCTAGGTAGTTTATGCCACGCATATGTCCCGTCGTACGCCTTTTCTAGCCCATGTTGCGCACAAACTCTTGCGTTAGGCGTTCTTATAATCAGTTTATGGCGACTAAAATTGGGAAATGCCGACTGAAGGGCTGAGTCTCGGATATTCATGCCGCGTTTCTGAAAGCGGCCATAGGATCGAGTAGAGGTACAGTTCCACGATCATTATTCTGTTGCTTTTGATTACTGCGTTTCATCTGTGTTTGAACTATCCAAATCTACACATAACATTTCTCTCTCATTTCTTTCATTTCATCATTGTTAGTATTCTCATGATTTTGCGGCCGAGGGTGTTTGTGTCCACCATCCTTCATTACGTGCTCCACGGCATATGAAGTAACAACGGACTATCGGGCCATCGCCAGCATTCTGTTTTCGAGTATGAATGTGAATGGCATATTTTTCGAAGGCACTGGATACAGTTCACTACGTGGTCTGCCCAATTTTTACAGCGCGATCGCATAAAATAGATGCTTGTTCAATTTGCTCCAGTCGGTCCCGAAACACTTTTCCAGAGTGCTTGGCCAGTTAAGTGCAGTAGAAAGACGGTACGGCTGACAGTAAGCATATGTGTGGATGTAACCCAAAGTTCAGATGAAGTAACACAACCATCCGTGGAATTTTTGCTAGAGACTTACTTCTATGCGGGTTACTATCTCGAATAGTTTCATCCACACTTCCACTTACTGTCTGGCCGTGTGCCGGTGACACTTAAAAGCAAGTGAACCAACACGACATTAACTGATCCTTAGGGCCGATATTTTGTGTTTATAGAATGGTCGTTCAAGCCATCCAGTCGGTCCGGCAGTTCAAATATTTCGAATCAGACATTTCTATTACCTGCCAGTACGTTTGTGCCAACTCATCTTGCGGGGTTGCACTGGGTAGCATGGAAACTTCAGTCTTTCTCTTTAGGACATCGACCCAGTCGTGGCCAACAATAAACAAGGAAAATGTACCAATATAGTGAAGTAACAATAACGGATTGATGTCACATTTCTCTTCGGTGGGAGACAGTCCGGAAAAAGTTATCGGCAGTACGTCGGCATGCAGTACCGGCGCTTGGCTACCGCACAACCGCCATCAGTCGCGCGTGGGCTAAGTTCACTGCCAGAGTCGCGCGGTCCCCCAGGTCGGCTCGAAAGCGCGACATCAGGATTACAAGGCGAGTTCTTGATCCTTAGGGCTACGTGCCGATTGGTCTGGTTCAATTTGTGCACGTGGATCTGAGAAAATATTTGAACGTTGGAAATGTTTACGAACAAACCATATCTCCAAAGAATTTTCACGTACTTCCATCAATATAATGCATACGAATAGCGGAAGATTGATATTGAAAATGATTAAAAGAAGAACTGATATTTGCTAAGTGTACCCGAATCTTTGCGTCCAAGAAAAAGAGGTTGGCATTAGAGATCAAAAGGAAACAAATTATGAAGACACGTTTACGCTTTGGTTAGCCTAAACCTAGAGTTACGCGAATATTTTTGTTTTCCCGTTAAAACCATTACGGATGCTGATTTCGGCACAAAACTCACTAAGTTTTTTTTGCGTCGGTTCGCAGACTATCTCGGTTGAGCGGTAATTCCCACTCCACCTTAAACCCCTCAGCTCCAGAGAGTACACGAACCGAGTTTTCTTCCATATGTTAACAATGGATCAATACATAGATGTAAAGCCCCCCTTAAACTGTTCAATGTGGGACTGCAGAGAGCTGCGCTTTCCCCAGTTTTTTCGCGGATCCAGTTAAGATTCTTCAGTTGGGACTACTCAGTTTCCACATCATTTATTCAATTTCCTAGCCTCCAGTTGAACTGCGAGCGCACTTTCAAGTGACTGCACTCACTATCTATAATTAAAGTCATGCTGGCTGTTTGTCTAGTATGTGCACTCTAGTGTGGGGCATGGTACCACGGCGATTGATTCTAACTTTCTGTGTCACCCTCATGTCAAGTAGGTGCCAAGTAATCCGAGTAGATTGGTCCGTTGCAATTTTCACGGAGCTCTGCATACGGTTTAAAGCAGTTACCTTTTTGGCAATGCTCGGACGCATACTAGAGAGTAACCACTTCCTTCCGCTTCATCCAAAAGCGTCAGCCCCAAAATAAGCAGAATGCCACTGTAGTATAAATAGACATCTAAATCTCCGGTACCCACTACCCTGTTTAGAAGAAACACCTCTTTATATACTATTTTATTTACAGCAATGATTAGGTGAGTTTGGTGTGCATTACTCCACTATTGCGCGTTATTTTAGCAGGGACAATTTCTTCAATTTCTTCATATTGTCATACATTCAATATGTTTGCTTACTGAAATCATCTCATGGTAACCATCTCTCATTGTTTAAGTTGACAAAGCATATCACTATGACGAGCTAACTTTTATCATCACAAATCGGCTGCAATTTTTCTGTAAAGTAGATGGCTGACTGTATCAGTACTTGATTCATAGTGCAGATATCTAAACTTTACCTTTAATTCCTCCGTCGGCCCGTGGCCTAAAGGGTCACAAGCCTGCGTTGCAGTGCGGCGGTCGGGGATTCGATTCTGGATAGAGGACCGTGCTTCCCTGGCATTATCCTTCATACACACAGCAGAGAAGCGTCAGTACTGCGTAACGGTATACTACTGATGCCCTTCTAATCCATTCTCCGAGTTCTCCGCTATGTGCTTTGCTTATTGTATAGTTTCTGTGAGTCATTAATTATGCTGAAGTTAACTGTTGGCCGACGCAAATCTCGGTCATTAGCTATCTGGTCACCTGAACGGTTTTACCCAGATCCTATTCGCGAGCAGTGATACGGAGTAGACGTGTCGAGTACGGGAACAGTAAGATCGACCAGACACAACCTGTATTGGCAAGAGCTGCTAAGAATGGACAACAAGTAAACAAGCACAGACAGCAGCGTAAGATCGCAACTCACAGGGAGAGAGAGAGCAAGTAAACAGGATGTACCATCAATAAAGCTAATGTGCGATTGCAAGGTGAAGGCACGATTAAAATTTGATGTCGCCTAAATGTTTCATGTTCACTACTTGCCCATGTGTTTCATATGGTACCTTTGCTCCTTGTGAGTACTCGCGTATTTACGACATTTTGCATGTCAAGTTTCATTCTAAACCTATATAGGTAGCTACATATATGTGTGCATACTTGCAGCTGTCCAGTGATTAGAACTGAGGCTATAAAAAGCATGAATATCAAAATAAACTTCAACTATGGAAACAAAAAACAGTTTATTTAATGCACGTGGTTGTGCAAGGCGAATTAACCAGCTGAATTTGGGGACACCACCCGGAATCTATGGCTGTAAAGATTGCCCGCCAAGCCATGGTGAAATATCATCCATGTCTGAGTGGCTATACCGCTTCCGTTTCTCAAGTAGAGTTTAACCATAACTGCTCGGTTTTCTCTACCCAGATCTTTCGGTAGGTGTCGTCCCCACAGTGTGTTTCGAATGCTGTTTTCAGTGATTGTTTCCTACCTTTCTTGCATTTTATTGGAGCTTAACAAAATCTGCCCACCCTGCAGAAATTCAATGTGCTTCAGTATAGTCATGTTCACAATCTGTTAGGCACTTTGCTGAAGCGATGTGGCGAAGCTGAACGAACCATAGGAACGGCAATTTCGGATTTCCGACGACGCGTTGAAGACGGATATTTGGGTGCTCTTCGCAGCTACTCCCACAACTGTGCAAAGTCTGCTCTGGTGAGTGTCATTTATGTCATCCACCTCACGGAATATTGTGAACTTGTACAAGTAGTAGAGCATAGTATATTTAACTGTTGTTAACCGCTAAATTTCTAACTACACAGGATATTCCATGGAGAGGGTGCACAGTTCCTTACCTAGCAGGGACGATCTAGATTCCGATAATCAGTCCTTACCATCATTCCCCAGTTTTACGTCCTATTCCGGTGGTACCACCTCGATTTCGCATTCCATTATTGATGGGTATGTCCCACTTTTGCTTTCAGAGCCAACGTCACCGGTAGAGATGATGAGACTCAAGTTGATAGGTTAAACAAATGAATTGTATTGAAACGAAGGTGTCAGCAGTACAACGGCGTACCGTACCGACTTTTCGCCACCACGCGGTTAACATCAGTCGCGTGAGGATTGGGTATAAAACGACTTCGTTTGCACCCACTCTGATTCGAACCGGTGACCTAGGTATTCCAAGGCAGGCGTGCAATGATTTCGGTCACTGGCCATACTGATCACTGTACGCTGAGGAAATTAAGAGGCTAATCTCGTTTGACCATTAATATATGCGCATTGTTCCTCAGGTCTGTTGGGTACTTCATGTGTATACCGCTGTATGCGGAATTCGGATCGCCTCCAGCGGCTAGGTTTCTCGACGGCCGCATTGTTTGCCAGCAGTGCAGCTAGTTTTCAGGGAATCCATTGCTTGCTCCACAGGGCATGAAGCGGCTGATTTAAATAACTAAGGCGTCCTGGTGCTGGCAATCTTGGTGGATGGTGTTCCGTGTGTATCAACCGTATCGTTGTTCAGGTGTCCTATCAGCGATGCTTTTGCATTCATTTCTTGATTTCTGGCTGTCCCATCTGACGATTTTATTCATATCCCTTCCTCTTGAATTATCGGCATTCTTAGCGTTATTATTATGATAGTACATGTTACGTAGCCGAATCCATTTATTCTCGGTGATTGAATAGCCTTTAGGGAACTGAACTGGACGGAGCCCTGTCGTGAGAATGATAAAATTTTTGACGTTTTGTCCCAGTTCTCAATTTTCGTCAGCTCTTCTTCCCCCCAACTGCTTGGTTTCTGACAACAAACCCAAGATAACGAGACTACACTGCTCTAAATAATTTTCACATCATAGTAAGGCATACCTGACAGCATGCATTGCGGTACTCCACCGAGGGGTTTGGAAAACGCGCACTTCCTTTGCTGATTACTTCGCGTTTGCCGAGAGTCTAACTACTGTCTGTGTTGATCAGTCAATTGCCAATTTTCTTTCTTAATGGGATGAGCTGCAGGATATCTTGGGGAAGTGATAGAGAAAGGAAGATTAAAGATACTGACGCAAAGCTTCGCTGCTTGTCGCTACAAATTCAATACTACTGAAAAGATTTTCTGACACGGCACGGGTGCTGTAGATTTTGGTGTGTTTCGCACACTTAGATTGCAACGTACCGTTTCACGACTGGGCCGGGACGTCGCCGCGTCTCTCACCCAACAGCCAGTGGGAATGGCCGATCCATTCATATACGTTGAAAGTTTTATCATCTCTGTAGGCGACATCAATAAGCAGATTATTGCATGAATACACAAACCATGTGTGAGATTCTATTCTCAGTAATATTTGGGAACGAGGGGATGTCAGGTACTCAGCCAGCGGACTGGGTCACGACACCGCGCTGCAGTGGTTGTTATTTTGTGAGTTCAAACCATAGCTACTAATAGCTGAAAAAATTATGATATTGGTCATCTTTGGCCATAAGTTTATGCGATGCGTCTCCAACATTGAATAGGAGCTTCGAAAAGCCTTACTGAATTCCGCCGGTTCGTATTTGAAAAGAAGCCCTATGGTGCTTTAATCGAAGGTTTTTTACCTTCCAGAATGCCAGCTGACCGCCTTTCTAGGCTTGTATTAAATGCTACGATTGCACTTAGTAGGAAGAAAGCTCAAGATGGTCATTTGATGAATTGATACAAATCTTGCAGGAATTAACCGAAAGAACCTTGGTCAAGCTGATTGATGTGTGTGTGATCAGTGATTAGAGACACTGAAAGGTACGGCGCACTTACGATGAAAGTAGCCTTCTTCCTGCAATTAGCTTCTTTCAGTCGAATGGAGTACAAGCGTACCGCTTTATTCGGAGGACACAAGTTTGTATCCGTGTTGTGGAGAGAGGCCTCGCAATATGCGCACCGTACGCGGGACCGCTATCCTTCGCGTGGTAGCGAAGCGTCACTACAATGTACCAGCGTACTGCTGATGCTTTCTTACTCACCTGACTGTTACTTCCACATCGGCTTCCATTGATTTATCATCAAAACAATTGCTATGTCGATGATTGTAGTTTTGACAGCTGGACACATTCCACTTCGACACTGAGCTCATCGTTGGTTAATCAATTGAGGGTAAAAGAAAAATGTCGTGACATTAACCATGTTCATGTGTTTCTCGCTACTTTTGATGACTTGTCCTCCACATCGATAATTGAGGCGTTTTATGCATCGGTAACTGCCTTGTTTTCTCATCTGTTGTTTCCGTTTTGCTGCGCGGTTTTAGCGATGATGGATTTGAGGTTTCTGAAGCACGTGTTGCAACTATGGCGTCCTGTGAATTTTTCGGTAAACTTTTTACTAACTACGTTCACCCATTTCATCGTTACTGCTGATGCTATCCCAGTCAACAATAGCTACTATGGTGTTGTGTTAATCCGTCAATCCGGGTCAGTCCTGATTCAGGACTATTTCCTCTCGAAGTACTTGGTGGTTGGGTCACCGATAAATTTACAACGTCTACTAGGGACACTTTTCAAAACCTTGACCAGTTTTGGATTTGTCAAGAACTGGGTCTACCATTACACGTGGCGAGCGCTATTATGCCAATCAATTATCTACCAAAGATCACTATGCAAAGCATCGTCGCCATCTTCTGGGGATATTTAGGAACGACGTTTATCTGCAGGTTTACTGATACCGCTACACAGAGTAAAGAGGTTAGATTGACTTGGTTATTTTCTTTACATATCGATATTTGTCCCTGTATCGAAACTGTTAATTGCTGAGTCTATCCACACGGTGACTACTGGACAGCTTGACAGAAGAGCAGAAACTAAATGGTAGCACCGCTGAGACACATCGGTACGTGCGTAAACTGGGGCTCTCTCTTGGCCTTCTACTTCTAACTCCCAACGTGTTATCTTACTGCAATCTATTTTGTTTTCTAGTGTGATTTCCCCCACATTTATTGGACTGTCATGGCAACAGAGTCCACCGCACTTCAGTATTCAGAACCGTCGTAGCCATGACTGTGACTGTCTTCGATTTATTTCTCTGTGAACACAAGCCCAGCTCAACTTATCTGCCATCGTAGAGCATAGCGAAATCAGGAAAGCACTTAATGATCCACATGTTTTCTGCGAAAAGAGACGACTTGAATACCATTTATTCAACCGATCCAGAGCGATTGATTCTGCCCAGCTCGTTCGGCCCACTGCAAAGGGCCGCACTTGGCGCGTTGGCGTGTTTCATAGCTGCAACGCACTTGCGCTTTTGCACAATAATTTCCAGCATTTCCACGTGGTTTAGAAAAGTAATCCTTCCTAGTAATTACGTTTGTTATTTTCTTGCAGTCATCCTACTTAAGCAAGTAGGATCTGCACTTCCATGGAATTGCCCACAGTCAAATTTAATTCATAAGCATTTCGCCCCCTTATTGATGTCATAAGGCTAAATACAACTCACGGCACTGGTAACTATGTTTCCTGTTCTACCAACTGTCGCATTATCGGGTACTGATTGCTTGCAGTCATAAGAATTCAACACCGCTTTGGTGAGTTTTCTCTCGACTCCACAGTGCAATAATTGTTGACGAATGGAGTCGAATTATGATGCATTTTCCTCATTATTATTGAATTTAGAACTGCACTGTACTCGTTCGCTTCATGACCACGAGTGATTCATTCTGTCGCGTCCACTTCTGACCCACTTAACTTTACAGAAAGAATGCGAAAAGCTAGAGGATTTGCGACTAGATCTGGACCGGGCCAAGACCCTTCTGAAGCGCTCTAAAGATGATGCGAGCAAAAAGCAGGTTGGTTCACTACATTACAATAAATCCTCTCTTTCTTAACTAGCGTATTAAGAAACTCATTTATAGTAACCACTGAGTCTTCAAGATGACTATACCCCACCATACGATGTCGACCCGTAGCCTAGAGTTAACTAGCTTGCCTCGTAATCTTTCGGCGCGGGTTCGAATCCGCGTAGCTATGGGCGTCCTTCCCTTATACTCAGGCCGCATGCGACTGCTGCTGATCGCTCAGAAGCGAAGCGCCGTTACGGCGTACAGCTGACACGCTACGCTAGGATGTCGCCGGTCAATGATGTAACGCTTATTCATCTTTCTGAAATACTTCCACCTTTTGCTGTACACCATGATATCCTTTCAACTGTTCACAACGGGAGATCACTTAGAGTCGATAAACTTGTCCGCTAAAGTTTCGTCACTAACGGAGTTGTGCACCACAACAGTGATTAGTTCTCTAGCCCAATGGGTGGCTTTTTGCATGACACACTTCATGTACTCTCTTCCGGTGGCTTGTCCATACAGAAGTTGGCTCGCTCTTGAAGATACTGTTATTCGCTACATTTTTTCTGCGACCTTACTCTTCGATTGACTACTTTATCCTACTTCCAAAGGATAAGCTTCACTAATACATATCACCCTAACAGATTCATCTTCTATTCACCTGTTTATCTGATAAAAGTAAATGGTTTGTCAGGATGGTTAGCGTGTTCTCTGCCACAAAGTAGTTTGCTAGATGTGCACTCCACTGATCCAACAGCTGCACACTGTTGTTAGAATTTTCGACCTACGGGATGTCGTGATATTTGAACGGATTATCGACTTGTCTAGTCAGAATGAGATCAATGTTATTCATTCCATAAGTTTTCCTTTATCATGTGAAGCGTAAAATGCTTTGTTAGCTGCTAAATATGTTGATTGTGTAAGTGATATTTCGGTTGTTTGTTGTTCAGTCGACCATTTTATTGTAAAAAGAAGGAGTGGAAAGCTGGGAAAATTTTCAGTCGATTTGCTTTCTAGCGATAGGCGACGGCTTGTGATTGATCGGCGTCCGTAAAGCTCTCCTGTCCTAATAATACTAATTCGTTGTTCTTTCACATGTTTTCTATTTCTCCCACCGGTATTTTACGAGTATAATTCATTATATTTTTTGCACGACAGCGGATCTGCAACGCGACCCACTGTATTAGCGGTGACGATGTTCAACAAGCATTGCCCATATTATCTTGTTTGCAAACCATCGTTGACATAATGCGATGTATGTTAGTGCATTTATGTCATGAAGCCCCATGCAATTCGTCTACTTTGGCCGAGACGCTGTGCTGGTCAACCACTTAAGACATTCACGTTTTCTCTTAGGTTCTCCGTCCAACTTTCTTCTTTGCTCAAGCCTTTCTTATGCCGACAAACAATTGGGTGCATTGTCGCTGATTCTGCTAATCATGGTCGCCACCTCATTCTCACCCGACTTGTAATCATATGGCAGCGGGTGCAAACCTGGTTATGCATTCACTTTCAACATATCTTGCAATCATGCCTCCTTGTGTGTGCATTGTCCTAATTCAGTCCGACGAATCCAAAGGCCAGACCACAATGATCGTCCCATATGCCGACGCTAATTAGCTGTCTTTGAATTTACATCATTTTGTTTTTTGTCCCACGCATCTTCTGCATCTCCACTGTTGGTCAACAGCTACGACTGCATGCGTTCGTGTGTGCATGCGTATCTGCGCATGTCTCTATACGCATTCTTTTGCCCGAAGTCGCACCGCAAACCCTCAACTATGGGGCTTTCTCTCATCCCTAATAATTTTGCACTAGCAGTGCCCATTGCTCTATAGTTGCTGCTTGGCTTTTTGTCGGTTGACATCTTTTTCTACGTTCGATGGTTTTTGTTCTACAGCCGACGCGTAGCCTTAAGGCTCACAACGCTGCCTTGTGATCCGAGAGTGCGTGTTCGATGTTGTGTAGGGATCGGGCGACGCTCGCAAAATCTTTAGCCCACCCGCGATTTGTGGTGGTTGCTCAGCAGCGAGGCGCCCGTACTTCGTACCCGCGTACTGCTGATGCGTCTTCTTTGTTACACGCGTTGGATATACGATTACTAGGCTGTTCCAGATGACCTGCTTTCAGCGAATGAATTTTCACTAATGATTCTACTTGGCAGTACTGCCCAAAAACCCCACAGTATGTACTCGGAATGCTTAGACTGTAGTTTATTTTGTCAGATGTCCAGGGGTTGACCGTGTTATCGTTCCACTGCCCTTAAATAATGCACACTCTTCCTCAAATGCGGACGACTCAAAGATTCGATATCAGTCATGTTTGAGTCATAGACTGGGACCCTTGGAGCGCTACGGATACGTGCATTCAACCGACTAGTTATGATGCCTCCCTGTTTTGATATATGATAATTATCGGGCAGTTGTTCGCGTCCTGCACCCTTTAATCATCCTGCATGCTCAGCTATGCTGATGTGTAAACTAAGTCTACGTGCGATATAGTGTTCCTGGGTTCGCACCTATCCTGGACAGAAAGTTGGAACATACTGAACACTTGCATATAGATTTTGATATTTAAATCACCTAAAGACTAATTTTGAATGTCAACAGTTTGCAGTCTCATCGGGAATCTAATCAAAGAGTTTGATTGACTCGCTCATCTAGGTATTTGTATCATCCTTAGCCGTCAGTTCCCCTGAGGCATCATCGCCATTGCTGGTAAAGTTCGTTTGACTTCTCAACGTCTTAGTTATCTATATAAAAGAAATGTCACCAGGCAGCGCTTAAAACATTATGTCAGTAGTACACCAGTGTTTCACTGATGCTTTCTGTCATACAACAGCGGTGACCAAATCTAGGAACACGAATCAAAGAGCTAATTTGTACGTTCACTATACGTCGAGGTCGCTAAATAACTAGTCGTCTGACTGTCATTGCGTGCGCTGCAGTGTTTGCACCTTGTGCAGCAAACGACTGATTGCTGCTGCGTCCCTCCAGTTGGTTTCTCAACAGTTCTGCCCCGTGCACCTTCGGATCTTCTTTTGAAGCTTAACTTTCCACCCTGGCTAGACAATCTTTTTCGAGTACCTACCTGTCGTCTGTGCTTTTGCTACCGCACCTGATGGGGCGAAAACTCAACAAAAAACCAACCAATTATATTGGTGAAGGACAATTCCAAACTGGTAAGAAAGTTGGGTCACGTAGGCACACATGGTTTTCCTGAATAGGGCATCGTACTAAGCCGCACCAATGGACAAATATTATATATTCTGTGACGGCTTCACTAGACTACTAGCACTTACACATTCGGAAGCTAGCTTCGACTTGCTAACCTTCTCGTTACAAGATCGCACTGTCAATTTTCCTTGCAGTCCTTATCTGCCTTTGTGAGGTACATTTTACCATTTCGGAGCTTGCTTTTCAATAATAACGTTAATGGAACATTACGGGTCGCGACAACTGGTTTTATTTTAATTCGGTGCATCGTCATAGCTCACTATGAGAACAGAGCAGACATAATTATTTGGCATTTTTCGGAGGCGTGACTCCGTAGTCGATGTATTGCTTTTTCTGCATTTGTTCATTGACGACGATAGATCAACTTTCGAATGCGGCTTATTGATGCCGTGCTTTTGGCTTTAAAACGCGCTTCATGATGAGCTTTTGCAAGTGCTCAATTTCACTTGACCATCTCGAGTGTCCGCGCACCCGTAGCTGCATGTAAATTCCGCATAGGTATGCATTCCTCTCAAGTTGGTTACCTTCGCACCAGACTCTCTCTTGTTCCCTCAGGAAAGCTTTCCCCAAATGATTTGCTCTTTCTCTGGCTACATAAAACACGTATCCGCATTCGAAACATCAGCTTTGATTTAACTATTGGTATGGCTCTCCTTAGCCCGCTTTTGTTAACCTGTGCAGGTGCCTCAGGTCATCCAGCACATATTTCTCCCACTGATTTGGGATCTCATTTATTCTCTGAACTTGCTATTTTCCGCTCTTGCACTGTATGCGGATTTCCAGCGTTGCCGGCTCATAGCCTGCATGAGGTCTCAGTACTTACACATACCTATTTGCATTATTGCCAATGTCCTTTCTGGAACGGCAGTCCTCCTTATGGCTTTCTGAATGAGCACCATTAACCTTAAAACGCCGTGATACTACTCTATCCTTTCTGGCGTTTTTGCCATTCAGCGACATTTTCACTCACCAATCCCATTTGGAACTAGCCGGTTGCGTGAATTTCCGTGCCTGGCATTCTTCTTCGCACTTCCTTTATCTCCTTGTTGCCCTCATCTACCGTATGCTCTGTTTCCAGTTTCGGTAAAACAATGCTATTATCTTTTTGAGCAGACCATTTGACAATCACATTTTTGCTCGGTCGTTTATAGAAATACGAACAACAAGTTTCAGAAGCGCAGACTGCGTACACTCGTCAGGTGGACATTACCAAGAGACATTTGGAGCAAAGCATCGCAGACTTTGTGAGTTTGTTTATGTATCATCATCTTATCTGCCATCACACACACGCACGCACCTTAACGCTAGCTTCCGTGCGTCAGTACAATTTGTTTACACCACCATAGCTGCAACACCGAAGTCTGATGAATATTGACTTACTTATCTACAGTATCTTATTACTGCTGCTTCTACAACTGCCAGATAATCTTTGTGCTACTTCTGGGCGATAGAAAAAACGCAGAGGCAGCACAAGCCTGTTTACTTCATCCTGTATTTTCAAGATGACTGAAACCAAACCCAAAATTTTCAGTATAACTTTTGAACACCTGATTCGTATGCTGTACACCTTTCTGTGACCCTAATAATGTAGTTTGCATGGGAAACCGACGGTTATGCCGGTTGTCCATTCACATTTTCAATTGCCGGTTTAATGCGGGCTTTCGATCACGACCATACTGTTGTTGTTCTAACATCCTAAAAGCTACTACCCGGTTTATTCTCGGTGCTGTGGATCTGACCATCCTCATCTCTCTTTTTACTTCAGTAAAGACCTAAATACAGCTTCAGTTCTGCCACCGTCACTGTGACAGCTTTTCTTCGCAGTTGATCGATTGCTACCATGAATTTAGCTAACCGCGGTAGCCTTTTGAAGTCAACCAGCTCGCCACATGCGTTGTTTTTGTTTATCTGGAAGCGAATCTATTAATCTTGTTGTCGAAAGCGTTCCCTGTTAATTCTACAGGATTATCATTCATCTTATTCCTCAGCACAAAATCTTTCAAGCCTTAGCATTATAATTTGCCCCGGAACATTGTTTTTATTGCGTTACTTGAATCATTTACTACGCATTTTTCTTAAATTTTCTACCTGTTATTTCCGGGCATCAGCTTGGTTTGTAGTATTTGTTAATCGGGCTCACCGTTATCATTTGTTCTCTTCGCTTCTTCTCATGCCAATACGCGGATGTTTTGGCATTCCAACTTTGAAAGGGAACTAATAAATCTCCTTTTCCATCCCGTCATCAGCTCAGTCATACCGTTTGTTGCAATTGCCAGTGTACATTGTCTTCGTTCAGCTTCCTCAGCGACACCACTTTAATAGAGACTTTTGTTTGTTTTTATTGCGTATACACTGACTTAGGCTTCACGCTGTTGGCCCAGTTGGTTTTCTTCGTAAAACTCTATACTTCTTAGGTCACCACACTTTTGTCATTCTCCAAACTGAATGCTTCTCAAACATCCGGATTTTATCTTTCCACGTTCTTTGACATGTGCTATCTTATCCAACCAAAAGTAGGGCACTGTTACCCATTCACCTTCATGTGTAAAACTCATAATGTGGCAGATTCAGCGCATTGTCGCCTATGGACTTGTACAGATATCACCGTAGTAGGTGCACCTCACCGCATGCAATTCATGTCACACAGTCTGATCTGGTGAATAGTTTTCACTTGTACACATCACAAATATTATCTTGTGCTATGAATCATCCACTCACTACACGTGGGCGCGTGATACCAATGAACCGTTCGGTCATCTAACGACTCACTGGCACGATGTCTGCTACACCACAGGGTTTCGAGACCGCAGTGACATAGTATGTCTGCTCATAGCGTACTGGAGCGATATGGTATTTACATGATCGGCGGCCTCTTTGACTTGAATCCCTTGGGTGTATGACAACGGGGTTTTTATTTCTTCTCGCGCATTCTTACCATACATTCTGGATATTTTCCACCTCTTTTCGACTTACCCTTCTGAGGTTTCCTTTATCTATCGTTGGTTCCTATGTTTTATGTATTAACTCTGTCACGGCGACACCGGAACTCATCCTAGTTTTATGTTGTACTAAACTAACCTATCCGTTGTCAATAGTAAGTGAAGTTGGTGGGCTAAACACTGACTGTAATAGTCTCTAGTGTACGATAGGAATGTTTAGGATACCATTATTTGTGGAATTAATGGTCTTGGTGAGGTCCGAATCATTGAACACCAGGCTCGCTTCGCCGCGGTCTTGGTGGAATCAACCGGATATTTACCCTTTGCCAAGTGTTAGAACAAAGACATACAGTCGACCGACCATGGGGGTTTTACTTGACTTGGCAGCATCGTTTAACTATGTGGTCGAGCCAGCTTGTGGCTCCACCTGTTCGTGAAAGGCGTACATGCAAAACTCCTTTCCATTGAATGAACAATGAACAATGAATGCATACGGGTTAAGAAGCGTTTCTTTACAAGTCCCGTTGGATCGTTGCAGGGGATATCAACGTAACAATAATGATGATAAGGATAGTAAAATAGTTAATACTTTAAATATGAAAATAAGGACTTATCGTTTGCTTCGCTGCAGTCCTGCGATCCTCTTAGATTCACAGCATCCACAGTTAACAACAAATAATTCCATGGTAAACTCCAGGTGTAGGATGAAGACGTAGTGTTAAGTAAAAAGGTGTAAGTGGATGAGGGTATCGTCCAAACGCCTTTTACGTATCGTTAGTGTCGGTGAAGAGATGACCGATTCTGGCAGAGCATTCTACGGGTGACAGACAAGAATGGAAAATAAATTTATGCGGCACTCCAGACGACTGTATTGTTCTGCGAATTTTAATGGGTGGCCCCTCAGGTTTGTATTGCTGCTTAGTTGCAATAAAGTGCGGCACACATGATGTGGGTCTCGCAGAATCAAGTACGCCATAATCAGGTCGCCTCGTAGTCTGCGATAGCTTCCACTGAACAATCCCAGTCGTCGCAGCCTCTCCTGGTAGGAAAGATTGCGCATTCCAATTACGTTCTTAGATGCCCGGCGTTGTGGCTGTTCCAGTGCATTAAGGTCGTGTTTCTGCCATGGACGCCAGGCTTGAATTGCATATTCGACATGGGGGTAAACATACGCACTGAGCATTTGTCGAAATATGGAGCTGTTTATTTGTCCAAACGCCCGTCTTAACAGCCCGACGTGTTGGTTCCCGTTCTTCGATGCTTTTTTGGATTGCCTGAAGCAGCCAAAGTCATCTTGAATCAGGACACCAAAGTCACGTTCGAGAGTTGAATGTTGCAGTACATCCGTTCCGAGTCGGTATGAGTAGCTGCTCTGATGTCGGATGGAAAGCACCTTGCATTTACTGACGTTGAAATGCAATAAGTTTTGGGTCGACCATTGATACACCGTATCTAAATCACTCTTCAGCACATGTTGGTCGGTGTTCGCCTGGATCCTGTGCCAGATCTTGATATCGTCGGCAAACATTAGGAAGTTTGAAGCGATTCCCTGTGCAAGGTCATTAATAAACATCAAAAACAAACGTGGACCTAGAACCGAGCCTTGCGGCACACCGCACTCCACTTGTATGGGGTCCGATAAAGAGCTCCGAACTCTGACCACTAATTGCCGTTGAAATAGAAAGTTGGCGATCCAGCTTAAAAGAGGGTCTCCGATCCCGTAATGCTGCAGCTTGGATAGTAGTATCCGATGGTCTAGACGATCGAAAGCCTTGGAAATATCCAGGTAGATCACATCAACACCTTCTACAGCGTCGGCTGCCTCGGTCCAACTACTGCGTGCAATTAGTAAATTAGTTGTACATGACCGCTGTCGACGGAAACCGTGCTGCTCAGGAGTGATGATGTTATAGTTTTCCAGATAGCACACCAGTGCATCGGCAACTATGGATTCCATGACCTTGGAGAGTATAGGAATAAGGGTTACTGTGCGGTAGTTGGAGGGATCAGTTCTGCTTCCATCTTTGTGAATCGGGCTTATTATTTCAAGCTTCCACATGGCGGGAACTTGGTTCTGGTCTAAGCAGTGCTGGAAAAACTGAGCTATAGGTCCTGCCAGTTGGTTTGCTGCTGCTCTCAATGCCTTTGGACGAATGGTGTCGACACCCGGCGAGCTGTGTTTGTGTAGAGAAGTCAGCTTTTGCAATGCAGCCTCTGCAGTAAAATTGATGTGGGTTAGTCTTGGTGAGCAGAATACAAAGCTTGGTAGATCGCTTGTTGGCAAGACCCTTTGAAACGTGGGGCGTATTGCATCTGCGACACGTTTGCATTTTTCATAGATGTTCTTGTTATTCCATCAGCCGTCCGTAGTGGAGGGAATCATTTTCTCACATTTCGTAGGCTATTAACGTGCTTGTACAGCAGCTTGGGCTTAGTTATGAAGTTTTTTGCGATGTTCTGCTGATAGGCGGCTTTGTCTTCTCTTAACAGTTGAGTGCAGTGGTTACGTTGTTCTACCTATTTGTCCCAATTTTCTGGTGCTGGAGCTTCTCTGTACACTCGCCATGCTGCGTTGCGTACTGTCATCCAATTTCGGGTTCTGCTCCTAACGAAAGAAAATTATTTGCACTTATTGCAAGCTTTTATCTCTAAAGCCTGTGCAATCAGCTGACTGAATGTGTTGACGAACTCGAGCCAGGCGACTTCCGGGGGTTTTTCTTCGAGGAAAGACCATGCTGTGTCGCTGACTAGCTGGATGAGTCGGTCGTACATTGTGATGGTTCCCACAGCCTCACCGTCATCATTCAGATATTCTACATAGCAGACGAAGTTGAAACTGATGACTGCGTGATCACTGCGACCCAACAGGCAGTATAAAACCAACGCATCAATCATATGCTCCTCGGAATGCCCTTTACTTCGCCTCCCGAGGCTACGTAAAGATCTACGGGAAGTTGTCCCCTGGGTTATCAAGGAAAAGTGGGGTTCGCCAGGGTTGTCCTATTTCTTCTTTCTTCTTCAGCTTTTGATCGAAATGATTAAGAATAATTTGTTCTTTCGGATTTTTCTGGAGTGGAAGTTCTACCAGGTGACCGACTGACAAACCTTGAGTATGTGGACAATATAACCCACATTGAGTGTGACGCAGAGCCTATGCACGCACTACTGAATATGCTGATGCGTAGCGTTGCAAACTTCGGCTAATGCTTAGCACCTTTACATTTGCTTGACCGGACCGATACTCTATGGGTTTTGGCTATCAGCGAACAGTCGCTGGAAGTAACTACTTCACCCCTGAAGCTAACATCACCCAGGAGATGATTTCGTCTTCAAAATGGCCCTTCTGACTACTCAGATGCTTAACCACATATGGAGATGCCGGGATATCAACGTATCAGCAATAGATGGTTTGTATAATGCAAATATTAGTCCAGTGTTACTGTAAGCATCAGTTCGCAGTGAAGATAGTCAACATCTAGCTGTTTTTAGTCACAGGTGCTTGCGGCATGTTGCCAACATCTGCGGGGAACACCGAGTGTGCCAGTTGACTTTTGCCATAAGCCTTTTGGTGCTTCACTGAATTGTTTGCAAAGCTTGACCGCTTACTTTAGTTTAGTTGTGTCCTACGCATACCCTTCGATCTTCTTCCTCGTTGTGCAGCAGACACCATCGTCGCACTAATTTAAGCGAAACGGCAAGGTGGTCAGTCGATGAAGTGGTGCAGCGACATGCAGCAAGTGAGTGAGATACTTGGACAATTTGCTTCATGCAGTCTTGTCTTGTACTCTGACGGCGCCGGTTCGAGCCTGTTTAGGGGCAGGGGGACCCTCGCCGTATCGTTAGCCCACGTGCGACTGGTGGTGGTTGCGCGGCAGCGAAGTGTCGGTACTGCATACCGGCGTACTGCTGATGCCTTTCGCCTTAAGGGTTGGATAATTTCGGACATGGTACAGTCGCGCAGTCAGTGGTGCTCGTGCCCACGATTTATTGCATATAGTTATTGACGTACATTACATACCAACTAGTTCACCGCGCACCTTTCTTGGTTCATATTCCTTTTTGTTTATCGTCAATGTAATGACGTGAGTCGTGGCAGCTAGATCGACCGCACTTCGATAATGTGGTCATGGTCGTTCAAGTAAACTTTACTGAATTCATCTGTGCACACTGCATAGTGGCTGAGTGCATTCGGATGCATCAGCGGTAGTAAAAGTGTTCCTGCATTTGATCAGGTTTAGCCAAACACTACAGCATCCTCCAAGCGTATACACGTCAACAACTTTACGGCTTTCCGTCGCTTCTTGTTGCTTTTTGCTGAGTTTTTGAATCTCCCCAATGAATTTTAGACCACCATGCTCTCCCATGAGTTTGGCCATCCCAACTGTGTCATTTTGCTGACACCAGAATCAGTGTTGCCTAGAACGCATCGACTGCCACCGAAAGGTCTGCCAATAATATTTGTGTCGATTTACCGAACATTCCTGTTGCAGACAAACCCATACTCCCTTGTCGGTCTTGGTTATGATAGTCCTCCGCCAGTTGGCAAAGCAGGCCTTGCACAACGGTTACTTGTTTTTTGCCACATGGTTGTCCACTCTCATATGGGGTCAGAATAATAGCTCCTATGTGCTTAGCACTTAATCTGTCTCGTTGCCTAATGGACCGCACTGCGATATTTGCATTAGCTTGCGTGACGTTACTAATATACAAATAAACACCTGTACTTCGCTTCTGTCGTTACATCATGGTGAAATGACCGGCCGTAACGAACGTGTCTACAAAGTACTTTCATCATCGCATTCATTTATTCGTCCATGGGCCTTGCGTTCGAATTCGTCAAGGAATTTAGCTTGACATAAATAACCCAGGAGTATTATTCCCTCCTTTGGAACTGATGTGAATTTCCGCTCATGAGTATCAGTGGAAAGTTGATTTCTTGGAATCCACATTACTTGTAGCCCATCGTTGAGCAACATTTGCTGTCTTACCTTCTTTGTTGAACCGGTCCGTTATGTGTATGTCTAGTCTGCGCGTAGCGCATTAATTAGGCAATTTTTCATCCATTCAATCCACGATGCTGTGAAAATAATATAATGCGTTTCCATCCTTTTAAGGGGAAGCTTCGTGACTCCTTGATCGAGTTTATGAAGAGTGAACGCGAATACTACGAACAATGCCTTCGAGCAGTGAATGAAGCACTTCAATGAACCGTGTTTAGCTAAGGTGAGTTGCCTTTTGTTTTACCTTGTAAATGTGCATGTACCAGCATGTACCAGCCCGTCTTGTTTCCCACAATGGATGCTGGATCTTATTCATTGTAGGCTAGCAGTTTAGACTATTGATCGCACGGTCGACGACAAAGTCATTTAGTTGGATTCAATTACCCCGCTTTCTGGTATAGTTCTACTGTGTTCAAACAGAAAGCGAACTTTTGAAGTTGGGAACCAACCGGCGGAGTTAGCGCGCTGCGGCTATTGCGCGCACTAGTGGCACGTTTAGACAATGAACTGCCATTTGCCTTGTTTCCTTCTGATTGTTATTTGGCGTGCTACAACCACTGAAGTGAGTTGTTACACAAGCTGCTCTTCGGATCAATGTCATTGTAACAGCGAAAGATCCTGTAGTACATTGTGTGTCTGTGTGGGTGTGTGGATTTTTGCAACAAACTTGGTAAAACATTTACAAACATTTCAGTTGATCAGCCAATCATACGAAGAGGACTATATGAATTTCATGCAGCACGTTGAGTAGTTTAAGCGTTTTGAACCGCGGTAGGATTTCGGTTGGTAAGGACCCTAAAGTTGGGCGACATTTCACATCTCCTTTACAAAGCAATGGAAGTCACTCCCGAGCCCAGATCCGCCGACTGCAACACCTGATTAGATGTCTGACCATTTGTAAAAGCCAGTCGATACCCTACATCTTCACCATTAGTCAGTGTTCTACAGTTTACGTCTGTTCTTTTTTCAGGCCTTGGATTTTGGAGACCAATGAGCTTATGGTGACTGACTCTTACACTTTTCTTCCGCTTTTTCCTGATGATATGATTCTTTCCCCTCTGTGATAGACGCACACATGCGCAGAAATATGAATTTTGTGTTACCTCCCCATTTGGACGTTCTTGATTTTTTAACTTTCATCTGCGGCATTCTCGTCTACTTTACCATATCCGTCTCTCATCCGCTCCCTACTTCTACTGCTGTAATGTTGTACGGAAATTAATTAACCGACTTCATTAAATATTTTTGTTTGTTGTTGTCATTTTCAGTTCATTGCGTCCACTCTTCTTCATGCTATCATCCGGCACACACAGGCATCGAACAAGATAAAAGTGTGAAAGCCGAATGACAGTTATCTTATTAGATTAAGCCTTGTTTCTAGCCCATAAGCTCTCCGTCTGCAACTAGGCGGATGACGCTTAGTGTTTACTTAAGTCCACCACATAAATTTCCTCCAGTGCCTCCTGCTATTTCGTGATCCACACTCGCGCGCCATAGGCATACACCTCCTGATTACTCTAAACACGACTCACTTAAACTCAAAATAACCGGCTAAGCCGCTAAGTACCAGTCCACTGCTTTCAAAGCAGACTCGGTACCCTGTAGAGGATCGAGTTAAGAGTGGCGTTAACTCAGTGCCCTGTCAGAAGCCACTGGGGGATGCTTAGGTAAATTCCTCGACCTAAAAATTCACTAGTTAACCATCTACTCACCGATAAAGTACTGCGTTTGTACAATGACCCCGTTGATCGTTAGCATCGACGAGTCTGTTAACATGAGACTCCGCATCAGCTGGGCTACCGATTTGCAACGAAAAATTGCGCATGAGTACGAAACATAGTTGACGACTAGTTAGCGTTATCCTTCGTTTCTCAGAACCTAAATTTATATACTAGATTGCGGTTACTTGAATTTATGTACAATAAAAGAATTCGCAAATGATCCTTGGCTAGAACATATTTATCTGAATGTGTCTCGATTAATCGCATATTACAGGTATGGGTTCCGCATCCTCTACCATGAAAATGCCCCTAAAAAGACTGTAAGCTCGGAAAGAAGACATATACAAATTATCTATTTCGCTTCCCGACATGAACGCTGCTCTTCGACAGCCCTGAAAGCGTGAACATCTTGTATATGTAAACTCCATCCATAATTTTAAAGGCACGGTTTCTCGGTATCAAAAGAAATGGAACTTTTCCCTTCAATTTTCATTGCAAAAATCCCTTGTTTGCGTAGTTTCTGACCCCAACGAAGCGCTCTATATCACTGACTCACTCTTAGAGGCTTATTTCGATGGCTGTATTACAATGCACCAAAACCCTCTGGCTAGGGAATCAAGTTAACTTTAGAATAAGTGTATCACGTTATTATTGGGCTTTCCTTCCTCAGCCACAGTCAAGGGCACTTTATTAACATTAATCTGCCAAGGAGGACAGTTAACATTGGTGGATCTATCCAGAGCTACATATTCCTTTGAGCTACGACTTCCAGCTTCGAATTTCAGATTGATCATCGAAGACCATCAGCTCCACTGTTTCCCTCTTCCCATCACCAGCGTGGCACATTGCTAGTTGGTCGGCCGCTGGCCGAGTGGTATGCGCGTCTGGATTACAACCATAACGTCACCGGTTCGAATCCGCGTAGGGGCGGGCGTCCTCGTAGTATACTAAGCCCACGCGCAACTGGTGGTGGTCGGGTGGCAGCGAAGCGCCATTACGGCGTATAGCTGGCGATTTATTGTTATTATTGTTATCGTTATTATTACATTGCTAGTTGGCTGCTTCACTTCTCAACTGCATTAACGACGATGTCCGTGCGATAAAGGAGCCGGGTTCAGGTGCTGAGGAAAATAAAGCATATTTGTCAACTTGTGAAAACTGTAACTTGTACGCGGGAGCACGCCAAAGCCATGACAATGAAGCGACCCTATTCACATGGGGCATTAAGATTGCACTGCCGTCACCATGTTTTTTTACTGAGCGTTAATCATTTCTAGTGTCTTGGCGTGCAAGAATTCATAGCATTGAAACTTTCTTCGTCAAATAAGGGAGTTTAAATTGGTAGGGTGTTTTGTTTTCTCTCGTTTCGTTCACCCCCTGATGCATGTCGCAAGAATTCAGGAAGTCCATGACTGACGTGACGCTGATATTTCGCTACCGGGCATGTCGCTGATCCGGAAACACAGGCTCACAAAAGGAGGAGGAGTAATTCTGTATTACCGAAGCGACTTACAGTGCGAAGCCGTAGCGGATCCAGACTCGTAGTTCCCCGACTATCTTTGGTGCGCTTGCAGTTATAAGGCAGGGACGCTTGTCTTGGTGTACCGCCCGCTAATTCTACACCCGAAACCGACTGCCACCTAGCGACTGCTTTTAGATGCAGTTTACAGAGAAAGTACACTCACCTACTTATCATGGGTGGTTTCAACGTACATAGTGTAGAAACTCCTGTCCCATCGGGAACAATTCAAAGCAGATCTACAAGTTTTCGTAACCAATGTTTCGCTTTACAACCACATCACTTTGCCCACTCGGTTCAGAAACGGTAGTAGGCTATCTGTTTTGTATCTCTTGCTTACCAGCAAGGAGCATATGATTGACCTGTTGGTTTTAAACTGCCCGTTGCGTCGCAGCGATCACGCAGCCATCAGTTTCAACATTTTCTGCTATGCGGAATATTGAAATGAGAATGATGAGACTGTGCGAACCATTACAAGCTAGATCGATTAGCTCAGCTCGTCAGCGCTACGACTTGGTTGTTTATGCGGAAGAACCCCCTTTAAGTCGCCTGGCTCGAGTTCGTCAACAAATTCAATCAGCTGATTGCAGAGGCTTCAGAGATAAAGTTTGCAATAAGTGTACATCAATTTCCTTCGTTAGGAGCGGAACTCGAAAAGAGAAGACAGTACACAACGCAGCATGGCGATTGTACAGAGAAGCTTCAAACCAGAAACTTGGGAAAACTACGTAGCCCAACGTAACGACTGCACTCAACTGCTAAGAGAAGACAAAGTCGCCTATCAACAGAACATCGCAACATTTCTGTGCTAACCACCAACTGCTTTACAAGCACTTCAATAGCCTACGAAACGAAGCAAGGATTTCCTCCACTCAGGACGGCTGATGGCCCAACAAGAACGGCTGTGGAAGCAGCAAACGTGTTGCGGATGCAATATGCCCCTACGTTTCAGAGGGTCTTGCCACTAAGCGATCTTCCAATCTTTGTCTTCTTTTCACTAGGATTAACCAACATGACTTTTACCGCGGAGGCTGTATTGCAAAAGCTGACGTCTATGAAAACACAGCTAGCCAGGTGTCGACACCAATCGTCCAGAGGCAATGGAAGTTTCATCAAGCCAACTTGCAGGACCTTTAGCTCAGTTTTTCCAGCGCTGCTTAGACTAGAATCAAGTTCCTGCCATGTAGAAGCTTGGAATAATAACACAGATTCATAAAGATGGAAGCAGAACTGACCCCTCCAACTACCGCCTAATATCCCTTCTAATCTCCAAGGTCATGAAATCCACTGTTGCCGATGCACTGGTGTGTTAGCTGGAGAACGGTAACATCATCACGCCTGAGCAGCACGGTTTCCGTCGACAGCGGTCATGCACGGCGAATTTACTTAATGCACACAATATTTGGACCTTGTCAGCTGACGCTGGACAAGGCCGTGATGTGATTTACCTGGATTTTCTCAAGGCTTTCGATCGTCTAGACCATCGGATACTGCTTTCCAAACTCCAGCATTACGGGATCGGCGACCCTTTTGTAAGCTGGATTGCCAACTATTTGCTTCACCAGCAATTAGTGGTCAGATTTCGGAGCTCTTTGTCGGACCCCATACAAGTCGAGTGTGGTGTGCCGCAAGGCTCAGTTTTAGGTCCACGTTTGTTTTTGGTGTTTATTAATGACCTTGCACAGGGAATCGCTTCAAACTTCCTAATGTTTGCCGACGATATCAAGATTTGGCGCAGGACCCAGGCGAATGCCGACCAGCATCTGATTCAGAGTGACCTAGAACATTATACTTTCGGTAAATTGCATTATTGTCTACTGAGTGGAGATTTATAACAATTTGCCGAGAAGGGGCGAATGCCCCGGCATAATAAAATCATTGGTTTTAAATAGACTTCAAAAATTTTGGGCGGAATCGCTTATGTCGTCACCGTGTGTTTGTGTAATCCGACCTTGAAAGTATGAAAT